CTTTAATGCAGTCTTGGGGAGGTGGCTTCCAAGTTTTCGGACTTCTAGCCTTCTTAACACCTTTACAGCCATAAATCTTGGTGTTATACTTATCATAATCCTCCACAAGGTTTGCCATTCTCATAAGGATGGTGAAGTGGGAAGTTTCCTTGTTATTAAACAATTTATTCTTCCGCCTCTCCCATATTAACCAAAGGAGGGCAGCTCCTCTCTGCTGCATCTTCGTGCATTCCCACTCCAAGACTAGAAGAGATCCTTAAAATCCGAATGAGTCTCCATATTTAAGAGTTTGTCACAGTTTGCCTCAACCCACAAATCACGCACTGCCACACAATCAAAGAAAGCATGGTATAGATTCTTTGTTTCAGTTGAGCCCCATGGGCAGCCATCCTCTTCTGTCATGTGTCTGTACTTCAATAAAGAACGGACAGGGAGAGAATTTGTGCAGGCTCGCCATAACAGTTGTCACACTTTAGGAGTAGTCCCAAGATTCCACAAATTCACCCAGGCTTTATGAAATAAATCTAGATTGCAGGACTTACCGAGCATGTAAGCCGTCTTCACCGAGTATAAGCCATTGTTAGAAAAATCCCACGTGATACAATCTTCCGGAGCTCTCAAGCTTAGAGGGATCGACAGTATACATTTAATGTCACGCTCAATGAATATGCTTGGTAAAAGATCATGATTCCAGTCCATTTTATCAAAATCAATAATATCGCTCACATTTTCCACCATGTCATTTCTAGGAGAAAGAATTCTTGAACCATGTTCATCCGCAACCCAAGGATCATCCCAAATGCTTATGCGACTTCCGTTTCAAACACGCCAAATAAGACTCTCTTTGACTAGAGCCTTGGAACCCAAAATTCTACGCCAAGAGTAGCTACAAGAAGGCCCCAAAGAGGAACTCAAAAAATCCCCATGAGGGTAGTACTTTTTCCGGAGCACTCTACTCAATAATGATTCCGGACATGATATGAGACGCCATGCTTGTTTTCCAAGCATTACTTCATTGAAGACCGCCATGTCACGGAAGCCAAGACCACCAAGCATCTTCAGGTTGCAAAGAGTATCCCATTTCACCCAATGAACCTTCCGGTTGTTTTTTGAATGGCCCCACCAAAATTTGGCAGTTAAGGATCTAATTTCTTCAATCACCGAAGTTGGAATTCTATAAACTCCCATAATGTAGGTGGGAATCGCTTGGATCACAGATTTTATAAGAGTTTCCTTCCCCGCTCGAGACAAAAGTTTCTCTTTCCAACCTTGTAACTTCTTCCAGATTCTATCCTTCAAGGCACAGAACACGGCTTTTTTCGACCTCCCAATTATGGTGGGGATGCCGAGGTATTTTCCGTGTTCTTAGCCTAGTCTCATCCCCAAAAAATCCACGAGCTCTTTCTGTAGTGACTAACTAACACCTTTGCTAAAAGAGACCTCCGATTTTTCATAATTAATTTTCTGACCGGAAGCTGCTCCGTATTTGTTGAGTATATCAACTATCTTGGAGCATTCCCTTCGGTTGGCTCTAGCAAATAGCAGGCTGTCATCAGCAAAGAAAAGGTGAGAAATTAAGGGGCCATTTTTGCTGGCTTTAGCCCCATGAATATCACCTGTGAACACCGCCTTGGAGATCAGACCAGAAAAGGCATCTGCAATCATAATAAATAAATACGGGGATAAGGGATTGCCTTGCCTTAAGCCCCTAGAAGGCTTAACATCACCAAAAACCACTCCATTGATGATAAATGAGTATGAAACAGTCGAGACACAACTCATCACAATTTTAACCCAAGAGTCTGCAAATACTCCACATGATCGTAGGCCTTGCTCATGTCTAGCTTCAGATCTATCGTCCCTTTTCTACCTTTGTTCCTCTTTTTCATGGAATGAAAGAGTTCCAAGGCAATAAGGGCATTATCAGTGATCAATCTCCCTGGGACAAAGGCACTCTGATTCTCGGATATAATATCAGGGAGAATGGACTTAAGTCGCATAACAATAGCTTTGGAAGCAATTTTATACAGGACATTACATAGAGCAATTGGCCTAAATTCTGCCATATTACAAGGAGATTTTACCTTGGGGATAAGAACAATGTTGGTGCGGTTAATTTCTGCTGGGGAGCAATTGCCATGGAGAATGTTGCACACATGAGAAGTGACATCGTTCCCAATAATATGCCAGAATTTTTGATAAAAAATTGCATAGATTCCGTCAAGGCCCGAAGCCTTGCAGAGGTGCATTTCACATATAGCAGCATAGACGTCAGCTGTTGTAAAAGGGCTGTTGTAAAAGGGCGGAGAAGAAGGTCATTAGCCACACTTGAAATGGATGGCGACACAGCCTCGAGAACTTCGTCACAACTATCCCCCGATTGCAGACCTGAAGAGAAGAGGTTCGCATAATAATTTTCAACAATATGCTCGAAATCATCCTCAGCCGTACACCATTCACCTCTCTCATTAAGAAGCCCTGTGATCTCATTTTTCTTCTTCCGTTGAGAAGCTTTGTGGTGGAAATATGTCGTACTTTTATCGCCATCCTTGATCTCAGCCGATCTCGATATCAAGTACCAGTAGGCTTCTTGCTTCTCGAAGACCTCGTCTAGCTTTTTCTCAATTGCAGCACCAAGACGGATGTTAGCCTCAGAAATTTCGTCCTCTTGAACTGATTTGAGCTGATTTTCCAGGTCACCAATTTGCTTGTTGAAGTTAGCAAATTTCTTACCACTCCATGTTCTCAACGGACCCAATAACCTGTTGTAGACACCCATTTGTGTCTACCAAACCCAGTGATGAGTACCTTTCACGTCGAATCATAATCGAGTGAAGTGAAAGTGTGGAAAGTATAGTGTTGCGGATAGTTTTAATTTCTTTTCTCTTCTCTCTGTTTTTGAAAACCTATTTTAAGAAAACAGCCAATCCAGTTTGATTGGTCCATGATATGGGTCCAATAGTGGTGTAGTTGGATAGGGCTTGAAAATACCTTTCCAACGATATATTATAAGCCCAATTCCGATGAATATTGAGAAAGTTATGGCCTAATTACTGAACTGGGCCCGGTTTGAGCCTTATATGCAGCCCAATGATCTAGAGGAGGGCCTAATACAGATTTATCATTCTTAATGCAATTAGTAATGGTTTATCTAGATTCTTCTAGAAGGTTCTTTTCATTCCTAATTCAATTAGCATTGATAAATTGACTTTTGTTGGCTTTTAGAGTTTTAATCAGAATAAAAGAACGTTTTTGTGGAAAATATGATTTTATCCTCCTGTACGGCAATTTCTATCTGATTTTAAGAAAACGTGTCAATTTATTAGTCAGTGCCAAACGCCAGCTGTAGCGCCTGGCGCTAACCTTAGCGCTTGGCGCTAACGTCAGCGTTTGGCGCTAATCCTCGTTTTTCGCGTCAGAACTCTGTTTTGATTTTCTATCTTTTTGGTTGATTTTCTCTATAAATCGCGTTCTAAAAACTCCATTTTGATTCAGCAACTCTCATTAAGATTTTCTTGATTACTCTCTTTCTCTCTTTTTTCTAAACTAGCCTTTTCACAAATATAAAAATTCCGCATTCATTAGATCTAGAAACACCTAGCCAAGTTCGAAGTTGCCTTCGCCCTAGACGTGAAAGGTTTAATTTCTGAGGGTTTGGTCCCAAATCTCTCTTTCGATTATTTAATTTAATTGTTGTTTATTATTTTCCTTGAAGTTACTAACGTGTGTATTTTGTTATTAGAAAGAGGTACGAGGCATCCAAGTAAGTGATTTAATGGTTTTTATTGATGTTATTATGTAGAAATTATGTTTAGATTGTTATATTGATTCCTAATATCATGTCTAGGGTAACTTTAATATCAAGTATGATTAAAATTATGATGTCTTTTATGTTCTTCCTAATATTTATGATTGTTAGTATCATGTTAGGGCTAAAGCTTTGATTTTTATTGTTTAGTGACATGTTAGGGGTTGTTATTAATCTTGTTAGTATCATGCCTAGGATCTTGCTATTCTTATTATATAACATAATTATTTTAATTATGATTATAATTTTATGATGATGATTATTATAATTATTATTATTATGATTGTGATTATTTTTATTGTTGATTATTATTGTGTTGCTTGATATTTATTATTTATTGCTTGATCACACCTTTTATTCATGTTTAAAGGGAATTTGTACTTGTAATCACGCTTAATAAGATAATTAATAATCTTGTTTAGGGTTAATATGATTATAATTCAAGTGATCGTCAATAATAGTTTTGTTTGTGCATTAATATTCAACCAACATAGATAAACAGGTTTAGGGTAATCCAATTGATTGCATGTTAGTCAGAAAGCGCACATGAATACGATCTGAATAAAGTAGAGGCCTATTATTAGGGCAGGTTCAATCTCTTTAAGGTTAGATTTGTACATTCATCCCCGAAACCTATTTGGTTCAAGACCTTATGGAGTTGACGATCTCTTGGATCGTTAAGGGGTGTAACCTTCACCTCGTGAACGGTTTACAAGTTCCTAAAACTTGTTGACGACTCTTTTGCTCTATCTTCTTTCCCTTTGGACGCCACCGTACTTTAGAGTATGATCATAGTGGAGTTCAAGCTAGGGATAACGCTTGAAATATTCCCTACACCTGCCCAATCTGTCAAACATGAAGCCCCCCTCCGTGTCCTTCCACGACTGTTTCACGACCTGTTCACAATCCGAGTCAAGAAGCCAAGCGGTTTCGAATTTGAAAGATTTCTTCCCCCTCTTGCGATTGCGTTTGGGGCGTCTTTTTCTAGTCATAATCGGGGTGTGATATGATTTAAACCTGACTAGATGTTCAACATATATGTTTGGGAACAAAGAAAACCATTCATCGTTGCCACAAAAGCGGTCAAGTCTTTCACGAACCATGGTAGAGGGGGTAAGTCCTCTTTCCCAAGTATACCATTGCCCCACATATCCCAAATCACGCAAATTGCAAGAGTCGAGAACATCCCGGAAGCCTCTTATAGCCCTACGCTTAGAATCGGCCCCACCTTATTTCTCCTCCATACTAAGGATTTCATTGAAATCACCTCCAATAAGAATCGGGCCATCAATACCATCACAAAGAGAATTAATAAGGGACCATGTTTTATGTTTTTCAGCAGTTTCAGACCAACCATAAATACCCACAAAATACCAAACAAGATCACCTTGCATAACTTTTCCACAAATGTGGTGAGCAGAATAAGAAATCAGAACAAAGTCAATAAAGCTACTATTCCAGTACAAGCATAGACCCCCTGAGAGGCCCTCACTACTAACACCAAAAGCACAATCAAAGCCTAATCTATGTTTAATATTTTCCGAAGCTACTTTATTAATTTTTGTTTCAAAAAGAAAAACAAGATTAGGGGCTAAAGAAGCACACCAATTTCGAAGTGCGCCAACCGCTCGAGGATTGCCAAGGCCTCGAACGTTCCAACATAAAGAATTGATTGCTTTTCGAGGGGTTGGTCGGTCCCAACACCCTCTACTTGATTTACCCCGTCTCCGGCTTGAGAAACAGAATTGTACTTCGCCTTCTTCACATCATCAATGCTGGTTTTTGGTTCTTCGGCACTTCTTTTCCGGGAGCTATGTTAAACAGTAACTGCAGAGCTTGCAATGATTGTTTTCAGGGGTTGGGAAGGATCTCTATGCCCTCCATCATCTCTGTTTGTTGCTGTTCTGAAGTGTTCACAGTCAGGTTCTGGCTTCTTGCATTGAAGGCTGCAGTAGACTTGTGAGTAGTAGGATTAAGTTCACTCTCTGGCTGGATAGTATGAGTAAATAACTCATCCTGTTTTTGACTCTTCTGACTTATGCTATCAACACTTTTTGCACGCAACACTGGAGATAGTCCTTCCCCCACATTCTCTGCCACAAGTTTGGCCTTCCTCTCAGAACTTAACACACCAGGTTTTTTGCCACAATCTGGTGAGTTGAACAGCAATTTGCGTGCTGCTCCCGGGGGTCCTAACTTGATCACTCCAGGATCGTTGAATTTTTTTGACTTGGCTGAAGAGCAAGCAACCAAGTTTTCCTTCCATCTTCTTTCCTTCTCTCTTTCGTTCAGGTTAATCCTTGCTTGTTTTCTAGGCGTTGCCCTGAGCCAAGGACCATATTGAAATACCAGATTATCCTCTTCATTCCCAGCAGTTTCTTTGTTATGGCAATCACGGTCAGTGTGGTGTAGCATCCCACAAAAGAAGCAGAAGTCTGCTAGCCTTTCATATTTCATGTCAATCCACTTTGAAGTGGCAAGCTTGTAGCAAGCATTAATCCTCTTCGCAACGGTTTTCTGATATCCACCAAGATTTTCATACGAACAAATTCGCTCAAGCCTAATGGGTCATCTTCATCCAGTTTAACGAAACCTCCAAGAAGTTCACCAACGTCATACATAGTAGCAGCATTACGCTTATTAAAGGACATATCAAGAAGTCTCACCCACATGGGAGTATGGGTGAATACAATCTTCGAAGGATGTTCATCTCCTTGGAGCTGTTTCATTAACAGAATTTTATCATCAAAGAACCATGGGCTTTCTTCGATAACCCGATCTTTGTCCCCCTCACAAAAGAATTGGAGAACAAATAAGTTAGTATCCACAAACCTAATCGCAACACCTTCCTTCAATTTCCAGATTGATTGTAAGGTTCGTTTCAATGCTTCAGAGTTATAGGGTTTTATTGTGCAAAGTTTCCCAACCAGAGACAATTTTAATTGAGCAGTAGATTCCTCCATATTGGATTGTAGAGAATCGCCTCCGATCACCGCAATTTCGTCTTCAGTTAGTTTTAGTTTCTCCCATTCCTTAATTTATACGTTCGCCATGGGAATAGGATTGTTAAAGCACTCAAAGAGATCAAGATTACAGAGAAATCCAAAGAAGAATCACTGATCGCCACTAACTTACTGTACTACAAACCCTAGAGGGGACTACTGGAACCCTAAGCGAGGGACTTTGGCTCCAAAACAACTAATTTAATGCAGTATTTGGGAAATATTGGATCCATGAACTTAAACCAAGGATAATATATATTTATCCTACCATTAAACCTGAAAAAATCACACATTCATACACTAATATTAATTTCATTTCCAAATACCCAAAAGTCATAACCAGTAAACACATAAACATGCATCACAAAAATAAACAATTATTTGTCACAAAATTAACCCATTTAATAAAAACATAAAATCAATTAAAATAAGGGATTATATTTTAATTAGTGTTACTAGTTAATTGCGTTTTAATAAGTTAAAGTCAAGCATGTCTTCCCCTTTCCTACATTCACATGCATTTTTGCTAATTAACAAAGGAAGGAAAAGCTAATTTATAAAATTGAAACCTGGGCTTTTGGATTATTCTGAAATTGGTCCCCCCACCACGCGTAGTCTTCGCAGCAACCTTCCTCTTTTTAACCATGACAGCAAGAAACAAAGGACAAAGTAAAAAAATTAGCAATGTGAAAACCTAGAAATTCAATACCAAATGAGAGGAGAGAGAAAAACTATACTTACTCTTCCTTAGGCCAGCTTTACCCCACCAATTGAAGCATTCAATTGTTTCTTGCCATGGCAGATGGTTGTCACAGAGGAGAATTGAATGAGAAGTTCAAATGAAGTAGAAAACGGAGTTAATTAGGTGTGCATAGAAGATAGAGAGTAGAATTCTAGGGAAAAAAGGGGAAAATTAGAGGGGGCAGAATATTTGGGTCACGTGCCCCTCACATGCCAAAATCAACGCCGGAATGTTTAGTCAACGTCGAGAATCCGGCAACTGGGGTTATTTTGCAAAAAAAAAAACAATTAAGGTGTGTATATACAAACATTAAAAAATTATAAGGTGGTTTTTTCCAAAAAAAAAAGTGTTATAAAAGGTGGTTTCTGACAAAAATTTTCTAAATACTAATAAGTTCAACTAATTTCAAATCAATACTAATAAGTTCAAATAAGTAAAAATAAGTATCCACACTCTAAAAAAACATCAATAAGTTCGGATCAATATTAATAAGTTAATTAAGATAATAAGCAAAATTAAGTTAAATAGAATGGACCCATAAAGCAAGTCATAATTTTTATTTTTTACTAGTACTTCGTATAATTTACATGTCATAATGTGAGTATCAACTACAAATATCAGTGGCGGACCCAGTCTTGTTTAAGGTGGGTCACGTGACCTAGGAATAAAAGGGTTAAAAAAAAAATTAAAAGCTATTTATATCATATACATTTCATGGTTTAGTGGTCATTACATGAACTGAAAGCTTTCCTGTGGTGTAGGGGGGGATTGTGGGATCAAATCCCTTGCCAAACAAATTATGGTTTTTTTTTCCCTTTTTTCTCTTGGTTACTCACTAGTCACTACTCACTACTAGCCTAGAAGCCTGTTAGAGTACATTACTAACTTTTTGTTAATCTTTTGTTTCACTTGCTTTATAATTTGTATCATTGTTTCTAACTTTTCATTAAAATCAAAGCATATGTATATTATGGTAAAAAAACTCTCATACTTAGATTATTGTTTCACTTGCTTTGTAATTTGTATCATTGTTTCTAACTTTTCATTAAAATCAAATCATATGTATATTATTGTTAAAAAAAACTCTCATACTTAGATTATTGTTTCACTATTTTTTAAACTTGACATTTTTTTACATATTAGCCTATTAATTTTTACAAAGTATAATTTTTTTTTTCATTTTATTTTTATTACTGGTATATACGAAGTATTATTTACACAATCATACTTTTGTTTTATAGATGTATTTTACACCATATTATATACATCAATTAACTAATTTAAGTTATCATATGTAATGTTAGATAACTTCGAGGGTTCAAACCCCTAAGGTGGGATCAAATCCCTTGCCAAACAAATTATGGTTTTTTTTTCCCTTTTTTCTCTTGGTTACTCACTAGTCACTACTCACTACTAGCCTAGAAGCCTGTTAGAGTACATTACTAACTTTTTGTTAATCTTTTGTTTCACTTGCTTTATAATTTGTATCATTGTTTCTAACTTTTCATTAAAATCAAAGCATATGTATATTATGGTAAAAAAACTCTCATACTTAGATTATTGTTTCACTTGCTTTGTAATTTGTATCATTGTTTCTAACTTTTCATTAAAATCAAATCATATGTATATTATTGTTAAAAAAAACTCTCATACTTAGATTATTGTTTCACTATTTTTTAAACTTGACATTTTTTTACATATTAGCCTATTAATTTTTACAAAGTATAATTTTTTTTTTCATTTTATTTTTATTACTGGTATATACGAAGTATTATTTACACAATCATACTTTTGTTTTATAGATGTATTTTACACCATATTATATACATCAATTAACTAATTTAAGTTATCATATGTAAGTTAGATAACTTCGAGGGTTCAAACCCCTAAGGTAGAATTTCTTAGTTTGTCATTGCTTTTATTTATTCAATCTTATATTTAGTCCATAATAGTAACATATATTCATTAATCATTATACACGAGTACTCTCAATTAATTTAATTGAAATTGTAACTTAATTTTTAGATTGAAAAAGAAAATTATGTGATATAACAAGCTTCTTTAATCCTAAATTCATTCTCTACAAAATCCACCTCTTGGATCAATAGATGAAGGTGACCCAACACCTATAAAATCCTAGATCTGCCACCGACTACAATGGGAGTATTATTTTTCAGGCGGGTGCATATTTAATTATTTACAATGGGAGAAGGAGGGATATAAAGGATTAAAGGCGGAGTTGTAGCCACTATTTCAAACCATTTTCAAAATTTTAAGATTCTTGCAGCTAAACTTTGAACATGTAGGCAAATAAACGTATAATGTAAGAGAATGACAAAAGCCCAAAAAAAAAAGGAAGGAATTGAGTGTAGAAGCAAGTATGTATTACACTATTACTAAGTTAAGCTAACAATTAGGTACTCATATTTGAGGGTTTTCACGATGCTTCTACCGTAGTCGTCGACTACGGACGACTATGATAAGAAATTAAATCTGAGCCGTTTATTATTTTTTTGCTTAATCTAAGCCTTTGAATATTACCTTTTCAAAAAATTTAAAAATTTAATTTACACATCATTTAAGTCATGACCAGTCAGCAAAGTGTTGTTTATTTTCATACTTTTAGAAGGTTAAATTTTTTTCCCCAATTTACAATATTATAAAAAATCATCCAAGTCAAATATAAAATAGTTAACAATTATTTTTAGATGAAAACTCATATACTCTTCAATAGTTTCAACCTTCTTTAATGGCGTCTTTCATCATTAATTTTCAACCTTATTTTATAAGATTAATGTAATCATCATATTTATGCGTCAATATAAAATTAATTTATGAGATTGAAATCAATGTAAGTATATGTATACACAATTTGATTAAAGCAATAGAATAATATTTTATAATATTGTGTTTAATTTTATTTGTCATATGATTTCATGTTAAATTTTAATTTGTCATATGAGTTTTTAGTAACCCCATTGTTAAAGCTTGAATCTACAATGCCATTGTTTAAGATAGGTGTCTGTTTATGTTGAAGATGAATTTATTTTATATTTTTCTTTTATTTTTGTACAAAAATAAATAAAAGATAAGTTGAAAAACTTCCATAATTTTAGCATTTCGCATTTTATATAGAAAAGATATTTTTTTTGAAGAAATATAAAAAGGATTTATACAAAAAAAAAATCTTTTTTGAGATTGTATAATCAATCTAAATATTTTAGCTAAAACCATACAAGCATAATTTAAGAAACAGAGAAAATGGTGTTATTTAAAAAAAAAAAAAAAAGAAATATCCGTTTTTAAAAGATAATTAGCCTTCATTGAAAAAAAAATGCTTGAAAAAAAAAAAACAGCACTTCGTGATTTGGGGGGGGGGGGGGGGGGGGGAGGGTGGGGTTGATTAGTTATCTTTGACTAAATCTTTCTTTAATTATCTTCTTTGTTTTTTCAATATATGAATATGTAGTATATATAAAAAAAAAATATGTAGTATGTGATAATTATTTTTTCTCAAATTAGCATTGACATTTAATTTTAAAAGATACTCTAAATTTTTTTTTTTTTTTTTTTGAACAAAAAAATACTCTAAATTTGATTACAAGTATTTAGATTTTGGAATATTCATATTAATATGTAAGGAGAATATAAGTTTTTTTTTTTTGTTTTTTTTTTTTTTTGTTTTTTTTTTTTTTTTTTTTTGAGGACAGGAGAATATAAGTTTTAAATGAACCTTATTGTTATTATTCATCACTAGTGTTATATTTGATTCTTTGTTCATTATTCTCTATCTATAAACAGAGGATATTCTCTCTTAACAAAGGGTTAAATCTAGCATTTTTGGAGAGCATTGAGAGCGCCACGTAAGAAAAGGTATTATTTCGACCAGTAAGAAATTAGATTTCTATTTTATTTTAGAATTAAAAAAATCACTCTCCACCTAAACAAAAGTGACGAATGAAATTTTAAATTTTTGCCACATAGGTAAAAACGACGAATAGTAATTTATTAGGATTTTAATTATTTAAGAACACTAAATTTTATCATTTTTATTTGTTACAAAACTAAAAATTATCTTTAGATATTAGGATTTATATTATTTAAAAAACTTAAAATTATATTTTGATATTTAAAAAATATAAATTATCATTGATGTTAATGGTTTTATGTTAATATCTGATGATATGATACTTTCATACAAAATTTTAAAACTTATAATGCAAGAAAAAAATTAAGAGATCACCAAAAAAAATATTTATATACAAAATGTATATAAAAATTCGTGCATCGCACGCCACATAAGTAAAAGTAATATTTCGACCAATGAAAAATTAATTTTATATATTAATTTAGAATTTTAATTTTCAGTCGCTATTTAAGAAAAAATTAATAAATGAAATTTGAGAATTGAAAACAAAAAATAGTAATTTAAGATTTAAATTATGAAAAAAAATATTATGTTTTATATTATCTTTTACATTAGGATTTATATTATTTTAACAAATAATTAGAAATTAAAAAATATATTTTGATTTAATTATTTTATCTAACTATCCGATGAATGAGATAATATTTATTTCAATTTATAAATTCAAGTTCTATATACGTAAAATTTGAATAAGAACAATTTAAAAATTAACAAAATATTTTACCTTAAATTAATGTTAAAATAATAGAATAGAAAATAATTAGAAATATTAAGATTTAAATTATGAAAAAAAATATTATGTTTTATATTATCTTTTACATTAGGATTTATATTATTTTAACAAATAATTAGAAATTAAAAAATATATTTTGATTTAATTATTTTATCTAACTATCCGATGAATGAGATAATATTTATTTCAATTTATAAATTCAAGTTCTATATACGTAAAATTTGAATAAGAACAATTTAAAAATTAACAAAATATTTTACCTTAAATTAATGTTAAAATAATAGAATAGAAAATAAAAACAAAAAATATTAAGAAATTACAAAAAAAATATACAAAATGAAATATTTTACCTTACATCTAGTATTCTATTAATATTTGAAATTTAGCATACATTTTGGGATTTTCTTAAGTATTGATTTTTTACATACTACGGATTTTCTAGTACTCGTAATTAACATTCACTTAATTAATACAAGTAATTATTTTCCTCAAAAAAACTACAAATAATTATCTAGTGTCAAACTAATACATTGAATCAAGACAATTGAACAACATAAACTATATGCATCTATTTTGTTTAATTATAATTTATTTATTTTTGGTGCAACTCATTGTAGTTTGGTTGTTTTTTTTTTATTTATGTTTACATGTCTTTTCGACTAAAAAAATTAGATTAAAATTGTTTTTTGAGTAAAAAAAAGACATTTAAAAAGGTGTATGCGTATTTGAATTAAATATTTTCATGTTGCCCTTCAAAATTTTTTTTGTTGAAATATATATATTTT